GAGCGCGAGAGAGACCCGAGCGAGCCCTGCGAGGCAGGGCCCAGGAGGGCGGGGCAGTTCGGCGGCGCGCGCGAATCGGTTGGCGCGAGGGCCTCCTCCTCCCTCCTCCTCCTTGGGCCCGCCTTCCGATAAGCCTGGGGGGGGCACGTTTCTGTAGGCGAGGGGGCTGCTCAGGAGCCCCCCCTTCTCGGCTGCTGAGAAGCCTTTCGTAGCAGCCCCTGGGCCCTCCCAACATCATCGAGGATGAGATATCCCAACCCTAATAACACGATGCAGACGTGGCCTGACGGAGGTCCCCGTCTTCGCATCAGGGATAACAATTCTGGGCGGTTTTGTTTGATACATGTTCAGAGAAGAGCACCGTATCCCTAGTGTTTTCGGCCCTCCTAACTTAGGTCCCCTCCCAAAGGGTTCGGGCTCTTTGGTTAATCACAACAAGGCCCCTGCCTTCTGAGAAGCACCCCGCATTCTTGGGAGACCCCCCCCCTTGCGCCATCACCTTGTGTTCCTGACGCCAAGCTCTGCAAACTAGGACTCCGCCAGATCCAGCGTGATAGCACGAATCTGGGAGGATGTCTCGACCCGCGGCTGCCGTCTTCTCGGGTGCGCCATTGCCCGGGTGTACCAATGCCCCTGTGTATTGTGGGGCCCTGAGGCGTGCCAGGGCACGGAGAGGGTGTATCCCCGCGGGGGTTGTTTTGTTATCCGTATCCGCCGATCCTGAGACGTTGCCCCTGCAAGGCACTTCCTCACACCCGACGCTCCGCGATGTCCCCGGGGGGGGCCCGCTGCACATTGGTGGTTCTCATGTTAGCCAGTGGCGTGTGCACTGGCCCGTGCCCAAAGCAGCCCGCCGCGGGTTCCCTCTGCAGGAGCGTCCTCGAAGTCGCAGGCTTAAGTCGGGCACGTCCCCTCTACATGAAGAGTATTCCCAAGTGGTAACATGTCAGTTTGGGGACGAAGTTTCGATTTGCCGTGCCTCTTTTTGAGTATGTGTGGCTCACGTATCGTTTGTCCTCCAAGATCCGCCTGCAGGAGGACGTGGCCGACCTAAGCCCAGGCCCAGTCCCCTTCTCTGGCACAGCTCGCCACCAGTTCGGGGAGTGGCGTTCGCTTGGTGGCTGTTATGGGAGGGAGCGGGTATGCGATGCGGGGGGAAGGCAGGAAGGGAAAGGGACGGGAAGTGAACATGATAGGCAGAGGGGCATGTTTTGATTTTGATCGAAGCCATCGTGGGGCTCCGCAAACGAGAGGGCCGTAATGGGGGGTCGACGCGAGGCGGCCTTGTGCCACTTGCAGTGTTCTCACTGGCCGTCTTAGCAAGCCAGGGCTTCGTAGTAGTAAGATGTCACCAGACGTCGTGGGAGTCGTCTCAGCCTTGGCTTCTCTACGGGTCTCGTTGTGCATCCTCTTTCTCGTTCCCATGGTTGCGTCCCTCTGCGGAGGGAGGGTCGTCCTTTTTCCCACGTTCGTCGTTTCCGCATATCTGACCCTAACTTGCTCTTGTGCCGTCGTGCCATGTCGAGTTCCCGCTGAGAAAGTCATGCTGCGAGGTATTCGGGTCCTCCTTGCCCCTGTGCAGTTCGAGTCCTGGTCCTGTGCCTCTCTGTGTGAAAGACTTGCAGGAAGCGGGGGGGACTCAGCCAGGTGCGTCATCGGGGGTTCGTGGAGTACTCGACCAAAGGGGGAAGCACTTTGCTGCAGCTGCGACAGGTTGACTCTGAGCTTGATGTGTTTTGTTGAAGGTGATGCAAAGATATTGTACGTGGGGTTGGTCGAAATGTCTCCTGGCGGAGCGTCGCGGCCCCGCGCGCAGCGACAGGGCGTCCAAAGGTCAGAGAAAGGGGAGCCAGCATACAACCAAGGATTCGATTGCCTCTCCTGGGAGGTTGGATTCAGCATCGGTGTTTGTATGTCCGTGTTAGACCACGACCGCCCGCCCAGTCTGGCATAGTTCCGTACAAGTCCGCACAAGCCCGCGGAATCCAATTTTAATTGGGTTCATTCCTTGGCTTAATTCGGTCCACTCTGGTAGAGTGCCCCCCTAATGTGGTTTGATGGTATTAGTCGTTCTTACGGAGACCTCCCAGGAATTGCCTCCCAACACAGAGGCCGGACTGGACGGTTGGCCATCGAGGAGGAGACCGCAAGGTGCTTGGCACGATCCGTGCTTTAAAGCAGTACAGGGCTTACCTCAAAGGTTGAACCCACGCCAGGGTGCGGCGGCATACCATCCAGCTGCAGCAGTGAAAGGTCTACGCGTTGGTACCGGCAGGAATTCGATTATAGAATCTTGGATTGCAGCGACCTGCCAGAGAAGAGGCCGGCGACGGACATGACCTCCCGCAGCAGAGCCGCCCCTTTACGCGAGTTGGCCGAGTGAGTGTCGGGCGCTTCCATTCCTGACGATCCACGTTCTGAAGGCAGTCTCTGTTCCAGCCGTGTGGCCGCTGGAAGCATCAGCATGGCCGTTGGAAGCATCGTGCCCCCCGAGTCTCCAAGCGCGACGCCCAGCCAGCCTCACCGACGCGCGTGCAGGAGGAGGGAGGGATCGAGGAGGGCCCACGCCTCTGGCGCTCCGATGCTTCCTCGACGCGTCGGGCCCCTGGCCCTCTCGGCCCCTCCGCTCTCATCCTGGGCAGCGTCTGTTCGGGGCCCTGGGCCCGACGGCTGGCCCACCCCGCGAGGTCCAAGGTGCGGTGCAGCCGTCGCTTGCTCGTTTCTGCTCAAGGCGTGGGAGGTCTGGGTCCGGATGGTCAGCCACGCGTAAAGAGGGGTGGCCGGAGGGGGGCAGGCGTCCTAGAAACGACACCCTGTCTTAGGAGGTGCGGGCGCCGTGTAAGAAGATGGTGGTTGCTTCTTGGAAGATGTTCTTGGCGTGCTTCTATGAAGCGGGTGGCTTGCTTCAACGAGGCTGTTTATGCTTCTAAAATCTAAGAATGTGTTCCGTGTTTCTAAGGAGCTGCGAGGGTGCTTCTAAGGAGCGGCGTGGCCCTGGCTTCTTTCAAGGGCGGCCGCTTTCTAAGAGACAACCTCCTTCTAAGAAGCCGTTCCCCCTCCCTCTACCCCGTTGTGCGCGCCGCCTAAATGAGGAGGACGAGGAGGAGGTGGGCACTCTTGCGTTTTCATCCGTCGCTGGGGATCTACTTCCTTCGGGCGCGTAGCGGTTGTTACCCCTGCCAGCCCTTCCCCTCCCCCCCAGGTAACGGTAACGATCATGCGTGGTGGGGGGATGGACCACCCACCATGCTAGTGCTAGCGCGCGTAATATGGCGATCGCAGCATACCCCTCCCCGCCGTGCCCGACCCCGCCTAGGCGTGACAGATACTTGGCTCCCCCCTTCCCCCAGGTAATGACCGTTACCCAGAATCATGTCTATCCTCGCGAAGGACCCGACCATGTAAAATTGTGGTTGCCGCGGTTGTGCATACCGTCTTCGGTGGAGCTCGCTATGAGGCCACGAAGCGTAAGCGTGTGAGGGGTGTGCAGACATGAGCCCGGCGGTGCCATGCGGGCGCAGCCACTGGGGCTTTCGGTGGAGCTCCGCATGGGCCCCGAAACGTGTGACGGGTATGCCGACATGGGCGCGGCGGTGCTATGCGAGCGCTGCCGCTTGGGTTTTTGGTGGAACTCCCTGTGGGGCCACGAAACGTGTGAAGGGTGTGCCGAGCGGGGTGCGGTGGTGCCATGCGCGCGTTGCCACTGGGGCCTTCGGCGGAGCTCCCTATGGCGCCACGAAGCGTGTGAGGGTTGTGCCGAACTAGGTGCGGTGGTGCAAGGCGGGTGCAGCCAGTGGGGCCTTCGGTGGAATTTCCGAAGCGTGTGAAGGGTGTGCCGAACTGGGTGCGATGGTGCCTTGCAGGCGCAGCCATTGGGGCTTTCGTTGGGTTCCCTGTGGGGCCACGACATGTGTGAGGGGTGTTCCGGACTTGGTGCTGTGTCGCCATGCGTGCGCAGCCATCGGGGCCACCAGTGGAGTTTCCTATGGCGCCACGAAGCGTGTGAAGGGTGTGCCGGAACAGAGACATGCGGCGGGCAACGGCAACGATGGTAGGATGGGATGAGGGAGGAGGGGGAGGAGGGGGAGGAGGAAGGAGTGAGGCGCGGGGTGCTGTCTCTTCAAAACGAGGACCCAACACCACGGGAGGGTTGGGACCAAATTGAATCACCCACCGTGTCGTCGTCCGTCGTGGCCGTCGTATCGTTCGCCTCCTTGCCGCCACTCCCGAGTCGCTTCAGCTTGCGAAGGCCGCCTGCCTGGGAGGGTCAGGGCTGCGTTTCGAGGCGACTCCTCTGGCTGGTCGCCCCCGAACGGTGTGGCGACCACACAGTATGGTGAGTCCGTGGGGATTCGGGGTCACCGCACGGTTTGGGGGCTCGGGTCGTTCTCCGAGGACGGCGCGAGCGGCTGGGGGCCTCCAAGGTCCCAAATCCGTGCGGTGAGGTCTGCTGGCATCTCGAGGTCATCGCACGGTCTGTCACCGCATCGTTCTTGGATCGCCAAGAGGGGACCTTCTCTCCAGAGTCCCAAGGCCGTTTGGTGAGGTCCTTCGGAGCTCCGAGGTCACTGCACGGTTTGTCACCGTACGGTTTTGGATCCCCCAAGTTGTCCTCTGTCCTGAGCTCTAAGCCCTCCTGCTTGGGAGGGGTCGGAGGGCGCTGTCGAAGAATGACAAACTGCATCAACATACATTGTCCGAGCTCCGTACGGATTTCTTTTATCCGCGCTGGACATACATGCATGTTTCCTGGCGTGGAGCGCGCCAGGGGGCGTCGCCGCCAGGGGTCCAGCGCAGATCCAAGATATCCGCGCGGAGCCCCGACAGTTTATGTTTACGCCCACCTTTCTTGTATGCCGACACCGATCTTGGGCCCACTGTTGGCCTGGCCTGCATCGGTGCAGATGTGCAGTTGGCGGCTCACGAAGGGGCGGTGTGCCCGGGCCATCGCCATGCCGTGCGGACGACGACGGTTCAGCCTCGACCGGCCGCACTCCACAGGAGACCTCGAGAACGACGTGGACACGCCCGCGGAGCCGGCCTGGAAGGCGACGGCGGACGGGGGAAAGCGGATCCAGTTTGGAGTTGGCTGGGGGGCTGACGTGGCCCGGCTGTGATTCTGGCCAGGAGGGGACCGATTCCGACAGAGTTTGCCCACATCCCCCCCCCCCCCCTCTTGACATCTTTTCCATTGGCTTACCCAGCTCGGACCACCCCTGCCCGCCTCCAAGATTCAGGCCCCGTCGCGTCGTAACGAAAACTCGCTGCGGAAGGTCTGGGCCGCTTTCGGCCCCCAGGGGCCCTCACAGGCCCTGGGGCCGTCAACGGCGGGACGAACAGCCTTCCAGGGAAGGCGTTCGGGACTTCTGGGAGCCACGCCTTCAGACAAAAACAGCGCCTCGGATCTTTGGGAAAGACCACAACTCTAGCCCTTCCTCCCAGCCCAGCCCCGCTCAGAATCGGTCCAGCCTCATCCGTTGTTCGAGGCGGATCCAGCTACGGCGAGAAGAAGCCTCTATGAGCCGAGAGGCACCTTAGAGACGAAACCTGAAAGCAGGGCCGCCGTGGAGTCTCGACGTGACCTCCAAGAAGCGAGGAGGGAATGGAGGGAGGGGAGAGGGACAAACTAGGTGCGCTCACATCATGTCTGACGTCCTACTCCTCCCTCTCATCCCTTACCATGGCGTAGATATCCTCTCTATTCGCTCAGTCGGATGTCGTAGCATGGCCTAACATCACATGGCATAGCATGGGCTTGAAGATCAACGCGTAGCATGACATAGCATGGCGTTGCGACGCCCCAAAGTGGGGGAGGGGGGCTTCTGCGGCCCAACACATCAACGAATTGGCACCGACTGTGTAATTACTTCCGATGGTTTTTTCGGAGGGCAATTTCTAGATTTTGGGGCTTATCTGGAAGGACCGAAAACCATACCGTGGCATGGCATTGGAAATGATGACGCCAGCGCTGCAGCGAGAGTATGATTCAGAACGAGCAGAAGCGCGGAAATGGGGCCAGCGCTGCAGATGGAGCTCGATTCGGGACGAGCGGACGCGCGGGAATGAGGCCAGCGCTGCAGCGGGAGCACGATTCGGAAAAGCCCGAAAATGAAGCCAGCGCTTCAGCGGACGCAGCATTTTGAAAGAAACTAAGCAAAAGCCCAATTCCCGGGAATCCTGTTTGTAAAGGAACAGTACGCGGAGGGGGCCCGACATGTTCTGGACGTCATCGAGGGAAGGGAGGGAGGAGAAGTATTCATGTGTTGTAACTGTACAGCGACGAAGAAGCCTAACCCGACGACATGGGAGGAAGAGTGAAGAGCGGGCACGGTCGGCACAGGTATCACTTTTTAGTATGCCCCTCGTCTGAGCGGCCGTCCAGGCCAACCAGATCGCGACACCCAGCCCCCTTGCAGCGGTGGTTGCCTGATCGAGAATTTACAACACGTGCGCGTAAGCGTTCGGAGGGTCGCGTGGTTTTCGCGCATCGGCGCTAGACCCTCCCCGAAGACAGACAATCTAACAGAAGGCGCGGGGGTTTTGAGAAGTCCCGCCGCCTTTGAGAAGGCCCCTTCTCCTTCTCACTTCCCCTCCTCGCTCGCCGCCGATCTTCAGCCTTGGGAGGAGGTGGACGTCCGGCAGGATGAGGAGTAGCGGCAGGAAGCGACGGAGGACCCGTGTGGCGTATGGGGAGTGCATGGGGGCGCGCGCAGGAACAGTTTGCACATCGTGTCTGCTCCCACTGCAGGGCTGACATCCCCAGAGCATACCGACGGCACCTGCTGGTATCTTTGGCGTGCTTTACTCTGCGCCCGTCGGGGTCGTCGAGCTCCGGCTGGTGAACGGCTGTTTGGGCAATCCTGGAGCATGGTGAGGTGCTGAATGTTTCAAGGGTCAGTTTGCAAGAAAACGCATGTTCCCACGTCCGCATATATATATATATATATGAAGTAGGACAGGGTAAGCGCAGGTACGACTTTGACCGTCCTCAATCAGATCGAGGTTTCTGCACGACTGTCGGTGGAGTCGGCACGACCTGGTTCAAGTTGGCGCGTCTCGCGCGCCTGCAGTCATGAGCCTTTCAATGCTTTTTCGCGCCACGGTTGCAGTGCTCGTGGACTCCGTGCTCGTGCTGTGGCAGCAGGTGTGATCGTCGATCCAGTGCGCTAGTCTGACTGTCGCCGTTGGGTGCAGACAGCGAGTGCACAGGCTGGGCCGTGTGCTCCAGGTGCGCCTCGTGGAGGAGGCCACAGGGAGGGCGCTCGCGAGGAGCAGATGGGTTGTACTGGCCGAGCGCCTGCGGCTGATGGGGTGAGCACCGGCCCGCCTGAGACCTCGACAGCGGACACGAGGAGGAGACGGAGGAGAGGGGGGAGGAGAATGAGGATGGGGATGAGGAGAGCGACGACGTGGACGAGGTCGGCGACGAGGACGACAACGACGACGACCATGTTGGGAACATATGCTATGACTTGCTGAGTTTACCTTTATTTATTTCTCCCCTCACTGGCAATTCACCAACTTGACGGACTGGCAACAAGTTCTTGGGCGAGAACCCCGTTCCCGAGTTTGGGGGCCTCTTGGGGCCAGGGCGTTCCCGAGTAAGCTGGAAGGAACCCACGAGCGGGAGCCGTTCTCGTCGTAGTTGAGCCATCGCCACTTGCGGAAGTATCGTGCGGGAGCTGTGGGAGCCTCGGTGTCAAAGAGCATGCGGCTGGCGTCGAGGCGAGAGCGCCAAGGGCCACTTCCATGTACTAACCTTACTTACTCGAGAGGCTTACGCCATTCCGCCGACCCCGTTAACAGTGACTTCGTCAAGAGTCGTGGCGCCGTGCCTTGCCTGTGAGTCAGGATCCTCGGGGATACCCATGAGTGTCTCCTGGAATGCCTCTCCCGGGCCTCTTGGAGGGATTTTGGGGGCTTCTCGGGGGCCCCTTGGTTACCTCTTGGGTGCCTCTTGGAAGCCTCTTGGGCCCTTTTAAGGTGCCTCGTGGGTCACGCCTTCAGAACCAAACCACCGCTCCAGCGGGAGATTCGGTTTCAAAGAACATGCGGCTGGCGTCGTGGCGAGAGCGCGAGGGGCCGCTTTCACGTATAAGCGGTCAGGGCTCCAGGAAAACAGTGTTTTTGCGATTTCGTGGACCGTTCTCGGTTTGATTTTGTTTCGCAGCAGAGGCAGAACGGAGACGGAGAGGGAACACGACAGCAATATGAACACGAAGACCTCTGCTTAGCTCGATCCCTCGCAACAGCCTTCTGTTCCAAAAGACCCTCTCTGGAGGTCCCCGGAGGCTTCGAGAGGCCTCGTGATGCCCAACAAGCGGATCAAACACATCCGAAGACCTCGATCCCCGATTTCCGATGACGACGATGACGCCGCCGACGACCCAGACCCCCGACTTCATGATCTGTCCATGACGTCGGCCTCCGGGTGTCTCGATGTCTCGACCCACTCCCCTGGACCGGGTTTTCACCCCGAGTCGTTTTCACATGGTCTCGGGGCCTGGCGTATGCCCCCAGAGGCCAAAACTACTCAAACATCATCCGTCGCGAGGGGATTTGGACACGACGACGACGACGACGACGACGACGACGACGACGACGACGACGACGACGACGGCACGCCTCCCAGCCAGCACCGCGTTTCGGTTGCAACTCTTGGGAGGTCTATTTCGGCGTCGGCGCTTAGTAGATCCGTGGTCAAAGACCAGCCGAGTCTGGCATGGGCCAGCTTATAATATTTGGTTGCATGCCGCATCAAACCCGCTAGATCTGGCGCGCAATCTGGCCTGTTGGCCTCTGCATCGGGCTTAAGACCTCCCCGAAGGAGGAAGGAGGAGGAGGAGGAGGAGGAGGATCAGGAGGAGGGAGGAGGAGGAGGACTAGGAGGAGGAGGAGGAGGAGGAGGAGGAGGAGGAGGAGGAGGAGGAGGAGTTGCGTCCCCACCAGCGGCGGCAGGCGCAGCTCGAGAAGGGCCTCGAGCGCCTGCGGCACTGCGAGGCCGTGGGCGCTGCGCTGCGCGCGGCGGTGCACCCGTCGTTCGAGGCGGCGACGGACGACCTGCGGGAGCTCGGCCCGGAGCAGGCCTCGCGGGGGCGAGGCTCGGGGATGGTGAGCTCTTATCGACTAGACGTAAGAGTGCCCTTTCGCCGGAGTGACCTTTGGTGCGGGCACGGATTGGTCTCCAGATGGCTGAAAACGAGGCAGTAGCAGCTGCTTGCGCGCCCAGGTTTGGACCCCCGCGGCCCCCCAGAAGTCGCGCACCAAAGGTCACTCTTACCCAGGGTCACTCTTGCGTGTAGCCGATCTTAGATCGTGACGATGCCACTTTTCACGCTGGGCACGTTCGCTCGGCTACTGGTCCTGGGACCACCGCAGATCGATCCGGCTCGAGGCGTCCCGCGGCAAGAAGCGGGGTCTGAGGCTGAGGCTATGGTCGTTTCACGTTCCCCCCCAGCCCAGAGAAGGCCCCCCTGGGCCATGACGCAAAATCGCAAGATGAAAGACCGGTGCCGAGGAAGGGTCGAGACTTCGGGGTTTTCACGTCATGGAAAGATCACGACGTCGGGGGTCTGGGGCCTGGGCTCCTAATGGCTCGGGGTGCGCACAGACAGCCCCCCTCCCCCCAGGTAGTTCAAGCTGGCCTCAACAGGCCCCCCGACCAGTCCAGGGCTCGTCTCAACAGGCCGCCCAGGGGGCCCAAACCTTTTCAGGTGCTTTACCGCTCTCGGCTTGCAGGGCTGTCGCCGGGCCCCGGGACCATCAAAAAATGAGAAATTGGTCCCAGGGAATGGGTCGAGACTTCTGGGGGTCGACGCCATGAAACAATCACGTCACGACGTGGTCGCTGTTTATTACCCAGTGGTCGTCGTTTTCTTATTCATTGTTTTGCCGATCGGCGCGGGCCCTCGCCCCCCCCCTTGCCCCCCCCATGGAGTAGATCTTGGCTGTTTTTGGCGCCTGTTTCGAGCAGGTGGAGTCTCCCCCACAGGACGCACTGCCTGCAAAGAGTCGCACTAAGCAGAGGCCCGGAGCCAGATCCCCCCCCCTCCCCCCTTCCCGCCCAGTGTCGAAACGCCGAATGAGAACACGCTCACTTGTTTCGCCCGCCGACGCGGGCCCCTGGCCTCCCCCCTCCCCGCCCTCCACAGAGCAGATCCCGGCTGCTCCTGGCGACTGTTCACGACCCCTTCCCCCCCATCTGCCAGCGCGACTTGTCAAAGCAGATCGGCGAAGCACCGGCCCAGCCCCGGACCCCCCCCACCTTCCCCACCTCTTGGCCCAACCTCGAAAGCCAGTACGTATAAGAAAGCGCCTGCGTGAGGGGTCTGGGAACGGTGTGGTGTCCACACCGTGTGGTGAGTGTGTGAGGAGTTTGGGTTGCCGCCCGGTTTTGGGACTCGGGCCGTTCGCCGATGAGATGTCTCGGGCGACTGGGGTCTCCAAGAGGTCCCGACGCCGTGCGGTGAGATCTCCTGGGATTGCACCGCGCGGCCTGTCACCGCATCGCGTGGGGGCCCTCAAGACAGGGGCCTCCTCTCCGAGGAGAACGGTGCCGTCACGGCTGGCTTTGGTTTCTCGCTCTCGCCGTTTTGGGTGCCTTTTGGGGGTGCCCCCGCCCCCGTCGCCTCGGCTGGATTCGCTGGGAGAGGTCTGGGGAGTGCAGTGGACGCCCATGCCAAGAAACACACTGCTTGCCTCCAGGGTGCCCTGGGTTCCTTGTGCTTCGATGGTCCTCCTTAGGGAAACGTGATGTCCCCACACGAACAAGCAATGGACGTCCTGGGGTCTCAAGGTTGGGTTTCTTGTGGAAGGTTTCTTGTGGTCGAGCTCCTACTGTAGCGGTATCGCTACCTTTGTGCCCCCGTCATCTCCACGAAGGGCAGTTATCGAAGACGCTTGCGGCGAATCACCGCGCCCCCTGCCCTTGTGGAAGCGCCTATGTGTCCGACAGCTGGGCTAGAGCTTGGCCAAGCTATCTGACCATGTGTTACCCGAGTCGGGACCCCGGCGGGACGCGCCGGAGGCCCAGGGGGGATCTCTTCTGGAAGAGAACCGGGACCAAAACCGAGAGGATCCAGCACGCCAGGCACCCCTGTGATGCATCGGCAGGAGGCGGCGGGTCCAGCTGCCCGGGGCCAGCTGCCCGCGGCAAGTGCCGCCACCGTGCCAGCGCGGCACTCTGCGTGGCCGGCGGCTCGGGCACAGACTGGCGGCGACACGCGGCACCTCCCGCGTCTGGTGCGTGAGGGGCCCTCGCGGGGGGGAGATGCCCGGGTCGTGTCGGGGCTGCCTTGGGCTACCGTAGGCTCTTGGGGCTCTTGTTGAAGCCGTCCCTTGGCTGTCCTGGGCCGTCTTTGGCCTTTCTCGGCCGTCTGGGGGGGTCTCGTGGAGCTGTCTTGGGAGCTGTCTTGGGGCCTCCCGGGCCATCTGGGGGCCCTCTTGGACTGTCTTGGGCCGGCGTAGACCGTCTTGGGGACCTCTTGGGGCCATCCTGGCTTGTTTGGGGGGCGTGTCAAGGCTCTCGCTCGGCTCTTGTAGCCTCTCTTGGGCTCCTCCGAATTACTCTTGGAACCATCATGGGAGTCGAGACGCCCAGGGAACGCAACATCATGGACGACGGAAAGCGTTGCGCGATTTCAGTTTGGGAATAAAGAGAAGCGGGGGATTTTGAGGGGGAGAGCCGCTCGCCGTTTCCGAGCCACTATCCTTGCGCATTCGAAATATTTTGTGGAAGCGGCAGGTCCAAGCGAGACATTATCCCAGGCCAGAGGCGTTGACACATCTTACATTTCGAAGAAACTGAAGTTTTAAGCATGTCTGTCTGGCAGGGAGTGTCCGAGATGGCTCAAGAGGGCTCCAAGAGGCTCTCCAAAGGGCCAAAACAGAGTCGCGACAGGCTCATGGCCCAGGATTCCTTCCGTAGCCATTTGAACTCAAGGCTCAAGCAGCGCGCCGGCAAGGCGCTAGCAAATCATTCCCAGTTTCTCCAACAATGTATTACATGTGCCCGCATATATTAAGCACATACACATCATCATCGGTAGGTGCCGTTCCGTGGCTGGCATGCGCCGCCTTCCTCTCATTAGTATTCCTTGCCAGTGGCATGCCGCTGCCCGTTGTGGTGCAGGCGATCTTCTGAGTGGCACGGTCCTTTGTGTTGGTCTGCATAGTCGTCTGCAGCTCCTGTTCTCGATCTCGTTCATGTAGTTAGATCGTTATATGTTGTTGGTGAATCTTGGAGTGCCCGTAGTAGTCCTCCATGGTCCTCTTGGTATTGTCGATCTCCCTCGCCTGCATGGCCAGGGGTATGCTTTGAGGACCATCGCTTCGAGGAAAGCGATCTGTGTGTCAGCGTCGATAGTAGGTAAGCCTGCTGCCCTGTATTTGACGATGACAGCTGTCGCTCTTTTCTCCTCGGAGTGCTTAATATTCTTCCATTCGTCCCTCAGCTTGTGGTCGTTGGGAGGCAGCTCCCAGTCGTGCCTCTTGACGGCGTCGATGTTCATCATGGGCATGACGTTGTTGATCGTGTTGGTGATGTGCTCGTTGTAGTTGCTGTTGCAATTCTGGCCGTCGTCTTTCTTCTTGGGCGTCTTTTCCTTTTCGGGTTGGGTCTTGCCCTTTCCGATGTTGTTCTTGCCATTGCCCTTCTGGCTGTTGCTGGCTGGATCCGGGTGGTCGTTCCTCCCTTGCCGTCCTGGTAGTTGCCTTTCCCGTTGAGGTTCTGTCTCCTGGACTTTTCGGGGTGATTGTCGGCCCTTTGGTCCATCCAGCTTTGGTTCTTTCAGATTTCGAGTCTTGCACCGGTGGCTGATGTAGCGGGCCTCGGTGTTGTAGCTCTGGATCGTGGGCGGCTCGATGCTGGTCTCCACGGTGGTTGTGCCGATGCCGATCCGCTCGCGGTTGCTCCCCATGATGTCGCCATTGTTGGAGCTGGAGGTGGATGCCGAGGTGGTTGCTGGGCGCTGTGGTGCGTGGCGAGGAGCTGGCGCGCTGTGTAGAGCTGCTGTTGGATGTCGTGGTCAAAGAGTTCTCGTGCAGCGGCGACTCGTAGCAGTGCTCGTGCTTGAGCTCGCTGTTCGCGCACCCGACGGTGCCACGCTGGATTAACCGACGAAGTCGTGGTGTCCTGAGGGGAAGAGGATGTAGTCGAAAAGGAATGTAAAGGTATGGTTTGGAAATTGATGTAACAGTAGATGGTACATGGACCGTTTGACAGTCGAGGCTGGCCACCTAGGGCTGGCACGTTGCCGCGGGTTTCTGGGTCCTCCTCCTCCTCCTCCTCCTCCTCGTGGCCTCGGCGCTACGGCCCTGGAGGGACGCGACCCAGGCCTGCGCAGTGGACAGCTGCGGGCACGCGCCGCCCGCGACGCCTCGGCTCACATGGGGTGCTGCGCCTGCGATGTGCCATTGGGATACCCGTCGTCGGGGCGCATAAACAGGCCTCATTTCGATTCCTCCGATCCGATTCGATGTTCGATTTCGATGGATTCCGATTCCGATCCGATTCGGCTTCGGATTCCGATCTGAGATCCGATTTCTCCATGGAGGCCTGCTGGCCTGTGGGTGTCTGCCGATTCTACTTTTCCCGACTCGGCCCACCATTTCCGTCGATCCGATTCATGACGACTTCCGCTCCGACCTGTCGATTCGATTCTTGGGCTCCCCTTGCACACAGAGTAGCAGGCTCCTCGGGGCCTCGGCAGAGTGGGGCGAGGGGCCTTGTCGCGCCGCAGTCTGCCAGTGCCCCCCCCCCCCAAGCGCTACAGAGGCTGGGCTTCCCCGTGCGGGAGCTCTGGGGGCGGGCCCGGCGCTGGGCCAGGGACTGGCATGCGACCTGCGCCGCCAGGGTGTGGCAGGCCCGAGCTCTTCATGACGTCTCGTCGTGGGCGCGAGACTCTGGTGCTCGCCCAGTGTTCAATTTGCGTGCTGCAGTCGCGGACGCGACGGCGCTTCTTCTGATGTCCTCACATTGTTTCTTTACTGCAAGCATGTTGGAACTTATATGTTGATCAATTTCTGATACATTGCGCAATTCGTTTTGGAACTCATACATGAAATGGCCCAGGTTCGAGTGCGTAGAGCTGAACGCCCACAGATAATTCAGCTTGGTTTCAAGATCGACATCTGGATCCCCCCAGAGTGATACAGAAGGGACGAGGGAAGGAGGAGTGTACGTACACACACATATATAGATACATAAGTACAAGGGGGGGGGCTTTGGATATTGTTCATGCTTGTAGAGTTTTCAGGTAACTATGTCAGGGTTTTCAGGGTTTCTGGGGTGTTGATGGTGTTTAGGGCGTTCAGGTTTCTCATTACTTGTTTGTCTAAGTTGTTGAAGGTGTTTAGGGTGTTCGTGGTAGTGTCTTATTGCATCCAACTCGCAATTGAACCCGCTTTCATTTAAAAATCATTGTTATCTATGGTTTCATTACATGCGTTCAAGGATTATTGAATCGCTTTGCTCATTCCGCCGGCCCGTAATATGGCATCGCTGGTTTTTGTCTGTGTGTTCGTTGCCCATGTTGCGCTCTTGGGGGCGGGTGTCGTTCGGACGCGTTGCGTGGGGAGTTTTGATGGTGAAGCAGTTCCCTGGGGGTCGTCTCTCGATGGGGCGAAATAGAGTCGTCGTCAAGATGCTTCTTTGGGGGGCCTCTTGGGGTCTGTTGAGAGGCCGTTCGGGGGCGCCTGGGAGACATGTTTGAAGCCTTCTGGGGCTTCTTTTGGGCCTCCTGGGAGTCTCCTGGGGCCTCTTGGCGACATCTTGGGGCCTCTTGGAGGCCTCTTGGGGCCTCTTTGGGACCTCCTGGGCGCCTTCTGGGACGGAGGGCTCCATTTTTGAGTTCTCGGTATCCCTCCTGAGTCCCTCTTGGGCCCGTCTTGGGGCCTCTTGGTCCGTCTTGGGCGGCACTTGGGCCGTCTTGAGGGCTCTCTTGGGTCGTTTCGGCGCCGTCTTGGGAGCTTCGTGGGCCGTCTTGGAGCGGTCTTGGGGGCCTCTTGGGCCGTCTTGGAGCGTCCGGAAGCCGAAAAAGCCAGAACACAAAAAAACATAGAAAAAAACAATGAAAATCAACGATTTTGGCCTCTTGGGGCTCCCTTCGGAGGCCTCTTGGAAGGCTCTTGGGGCGTCTTGGAGGCCTCTTGGGCTGTCTTGGGGGCCTTTTGGGCCGTCTTGGGGTCATCTTCGGCGTCTTCGAGCGCTCTTTGGGCGTCTCGGGGGCCTCTTGGGCAGTCTTGGGGGCCTCTTGGGGCACTCTGAGCGCGCTCTGGGGAGCCTGAGAGGCCGCACCCAGAAGGAAAACCATCTCTGAGTAGACTTGGTCGGGCGGCGGTCGGGCGGCGACCGGGCGTTGGTCGGGGTACTTTTCGCCGGGGGACCCCCAGGGGCCGCCCCGCGCGCGCGAACTAGAAATACTGTTAATACTGTTAACCAGTTACCGGAGATCTTAGCACGCCCTGGCCCGTTGGGCCGGCGAATTAGTCATGTTTCAACACATGTTTATACTGAGCGACGGCTGGGTATGACATATGTCCGAAGAGGAGGCGAGGGAGGAGCTTGAGAGACACGTTTGGCGGATATTTCCAGGAGCGATGGCCACTTCCCCCGCATGATACATCCGAGAAGGCGATGAAAAAAGGAACAACGGGACGAGGGATGACATTGATACGCTGGGCGCGTGAGATGCGCGGGCACACATCCGAGACGAGAGTGTGAGATGACGGTGCAGTCTTGATCTGGCTTGGCGATCGTGCGTAGCATAGGCTGGGTGAGGGATGTGGAGGTCAAAGCTCTGCGCGATGAGCTTCTCAAGCTCGAGAAGGTTTCCAACGTCGCCAAGGCTTTGGCTGTCTTGAAGGAGGGTGCCCCCAAACCAAACCAGTGCGAACAATCCTGTCATGCCGTCAATTGCAGCAGTGAGGGGATGGGAAAACATCGAGGGAGAGAGGAAGGAGGTTCCCGCCTTTCTCTTCATCGTGCCTCGTTCGTCCCCCGCTGGCATCCGCCACCGTCCCAGTCTCCCTCCCCCTCCTCCTCCCCTCCTGCTCCCCTCCCTCCCTCCTCCTCCTCCTCCTCCTCATCCCCCCCCTCCTCTTCCCCCGTCCCTCCTCCTGCCGGTGCCTCTCTGACTCGTCAGTTGGCTACCTTCTCCATTCAGTACCAGTGCACCTGCAGCAGTCGGCTCTGGCGCGTCGCGCTCGAGCCTGCCCGCTTGGCCCTGAAGGGGTTTGCGGTGGCATCCTGCCGAGGTGTGTGCCAACGGAAAACGCTCGAGTCCTCCGTCGGGGAGGGTCGCGGGCGACAAACATATCCGTACCCGCGGCCTCGCGGGCTTGGCCCCTGGTCCGCGACCCCGCAGATTCTGGGCGTGTTTTCGCGGATGCCCCGCGCGAGATGTCTAATTGTGTGCGGTCGGGTATCCGCCGGATCACTCCTCGGAATCCAGACCGCGAGGGCGCGGATACGGATATTTCCGCCGCTCGTCGGAGGGGGTCCAGGGAGGAATCGACTTCCTCCCCTCCCTCTCGGGCCGGACGAAAGGGAGGGTTACGACATCCTCTTCATGCAGCTGGTTTCCGCCCCGCCGCCGGGCCCGTTCCTCGATGCGTGGGCGCCTCCCAGCGCCAGGAGCTTGCAGGAAATCCAGCTGTGTGAGCGGATGTTCTTCACTACCCCTTGCTGTCCTGCCCTCTCGTTCCCCCCGCGCCTCCCCTCCCCGACCCCCCCCCCTCCGCCTCCGGGGCGCCCACGACGTGAGGAGCGGATCGGGTCCGCTCCGTCCGTGCGAGAGCGGGGTCTCCTGCGCAGGCTCTCGAGCAGCGCGCGCCCGCGGAGCTGGGGGCACGACGCGAGGAGGGGAGAGGGCACGAGGAGGGGCGGGGCCCGAGGAGGGGACAGGGGGGGGCGGGCACGAGGAGGGGAGGGGACACGAGGACGGGAGGAGGGACGAGGACGGGGGGGGGGGGGGGCACGAGGAAGGGGGAGGCGGCACGCTGGCCACCCTTCACCGCGGCGTGCCCCCCCCCCCCTCCCATTGTTCTTCCCGCGAACGGGGGCCTCGGAGGCCGTGGCCCCGCGGCGGCTGCAGCCTGGTTGTTGCCGGCGCCGCCCGCCCTTTGTTGTCCGCAGCTTTGCTCTTCCTGGTCGCTTCGGTGAGGCGGAAGTCAGGCAGGGGTGGAGGGTGACCACCTCCAAGGTGTGAGTGGGCCCGCGCGGTGGCGGCCCGCGGTGTTGTTTGGGCCACTTCAGGCACTCACTAGCGTTCCCACGGGGCGAAGCGAAGCGAGGAGAGATGATGTGGAAGCGTGAGGAAGAATCTGGGAGGGCAGGGATGGGGATCAGTATCGGTATCAGGATCAATATGAGGAGGCGGAGAGGAAATGCTAATGGTGGTGAAAATGGTGATGCTGCTGAAGATGCTCATCCCGATGACGGGCGATAGTGATGATGCCGATGATGATGGTGATGCGGCCGATGACAATTACAGTGATGATGATGCTGATGATGTGGGTGCTGCTGTTGATGATGATGATGATGATGCTGCTGGCGATGGTAATGCTGATTGATGGTGATGGGGATGTTGATGATGATCATGATGATGATGCGGGTGGCAAGTTTGATGACGGTGACGAGGAGGTGGTGGTAATGGTGGTGGCAGTGACGATGTTGATGAGCATGATGATGTTGATGTTGCTGATGATGATGATGACGAGGGTGAGGATGCGGATGAGGACGAGGCGGACGATGCTGTTTATGCGCCTGTTGTTGATAGTGGTGGCGCTGAGGATGATGGGGCGGTGATGACGATGATGATGTTGTTGATAATGCCGCTGGTGATGATATTGATGATTCGGTTGATTTTGATGTTGCCGTTAATAATGATTCTGATGTTGTCTCATGATGCTGATGCTGTTGGTTATGATGCTGGTGGTGGTGATGGTGATCATACGGACTGTGATGACGACGATGTTGGTCATGATGATGATGATGAGGATGAGGATGGTGATGATGATGATGATAATGATGATGATGATGTTCACTACGATGGCGATGGTGACGATGATGGTGGTAATGTTCATGACGCTGGTGATGGTCACGATGATGATTGCGATGCTGACGATGACCCTGGTGACAATGACGGCGGTTTGCGAAGTTATTGATGACGATTTGGATAACGCTGGTGATTGCGATGTTGCGAGTGATGATAGTAATGGTGGCAATGCTGGTGGCGAGAATTGTGAAGATATTGATGGTGGTGATGATGACCACGGTAAAGCTGACGAGGAGGAGAGAAATGATCCCGATGTGGGGGATGCGAATGATGACGATGATGATGATGATGATGATGACGATGATGATGATGATGATGATGATGATGATGATGATGATGATGATGACGCTGGTGATGATGATGATGATGATGATGATGATGAGTATGCGGGTAGGATGACTCTGATTCTGCCAATGATGTGTATGAGGATGGTGAGAAGAAGTTCGTAATGGTGATTGTGGTTGTGATGGTGATGGTGATGGTGACGTTTGTGATGGTGATGATGATCAGGAGGCGCGGGATAATGAGAATGATACGTGGTTGGCTGTTGAAAGGCACGATGAATGGACGCGGGAGGATGTGGAGGACGAGGGGTGGGAGGAGGACATTGACCAAGAAACCTGAAATGCGGGGTGGGGGACGATGGAGAGGAGCAGGGGGGAAGCATGGTGCCAGGGAGGCGGATGAGGTGGGGGACGGGTACAGGGAGGAGGGGGTGGAGGAACCAGCACGGGGGTGTCGCTGAGCCTCGCTCCAGGACTGCGTTGGGGTCGCCCGTCGCCCGGCCCCCCCTCCTCTTTGGACGGGGGCCGCGCGTGCGTGCAGGCCGCACGGGTGTGCGAGTGAGGCTCGCGATGAGCGCCGGATGGGGCGTACGTGGCATGAGGGCCCAGTGTGGTCAGGAACGAGAGGAAGACGGGGCGGCAGCAGAGGAAGTGGCTGCAGGTGACGACGCTGGTTACCACGGTGATCGTGGTGATGCTGGTGGTGGTGACAACGATGACGGTGGTCGTGACGATGATGGTGATGGTGGTGGCAGTGATTCTGATGATGGTGGGGGTCATTATTGTGGTGTTGACGTGGATGAGAATGATGATGTGGATGCGGATGATGAGAATGCTGATGGTGATAGTGATGGCGATGGTGATGATGGTGATGTTGGGTATGATGACGGTGACAATGAGGATGTTGGTGATGATGGGTATGACAGTTGTCATGAGTGTGGTGGTGTTGTGGATGATGATGATGATGATGATGATGATGATGATGATGATGATGATGATGATGATGATGCTGATGATGATGATGATGATGATGATGGTGGTACTGATGACGTCGATGAATATGATGATGACGCTGGTGATGATGATGGTGATGCTGTTGGTGTTGATGGGAATATTGACGCTGCTGGTGTTGATGCTGGTGATGATGGTACTTGTGCAAACGATGGTGGTGATGATGATGAGGAGGAACAGCAGGAGGATGGTGATGTTGACGGTGATGATGCGGAGGAGGAAGAAGAATGTGATGGTGATCGTGCTCATTGGAACGGCCTCCGGGAAGGGCCGCCGATCCGGGGGGGTCCGGATTCGGTGATCTTCTCGGCTATGTGGCCTCTTCCCTCCTCGATATGCGCCAATCATCATGAAAACGACAGATGGGGGACCCCCTCTCCCCTCCCCCCCTTCCCCTTGGAAAGTCCCGGGAGGGTTCCGAGGCGGCTAGATCTGAGGTGGGGCCCTGGGTCCCCCCGAAACATGTTGGGGATGCGCAAATCATTCAGAACACGCCAGATGGGGGACCGTCCCCCCCCTCTCCCCCCCCTCCCCGGCAAAGCCACCCTAGCGGCCCCCCCAAGCAGAGCTGAAGCTTTTGCATAGGCTCAGAGCTGAAGCACTCGTAGTTCACACGCTTGATCGGCGGATCTGTCGTGATGGTGCTGACGGTGATGATGGTACGGATGGTGGTCGTGACGAGTGTGATTGTTTTGGTGATGCCGATGATGAGGTGGATGAGTGGTGAGACGGAGGATGATGAGGGGGAGGACCATGAGAGGCCGGCGAGGCAATGAGGAGGAGCAGGAAAAGCAGGCTGACGAAGACACCGAGGAGGCGCGCGAGGAGGCGCACGAGCGGCAGCAGCGGTCGAGGACGAGGAGGAACATCAGCTCGTCGTCGTCGTCGTCGTCGTCGTTGTCGTCGTCGTCGCCGTCGTCGTCGTTGCCGTCGTCGTCGTCGTCGGTGGAGCCAGCGCGAGAACCGCGCAGGACGTCCGCGCCATGATCGACCAGAGCGCCCTGCTGGCCCTGCGCGCCGCGGAGCAGGCCCGCGCGGTTCGCGCGTGCGCGCGTCGTGCCGCTGCTCCCCGCGTGGTGCCCTCGGGCTCCGCTGTGGGTCCCTTCTCCTTCCCCCATCCTCACTCGCTCCCCCTGCGGGGTGCCATTACTTTGTTCATAACGCTTGGCTTGTTTTGCCATTTTCATGCCTTCCATGTCTTCATCCTTCATCATCCGTCCCTACTCGTCTCGTCATCCTCCTGATCCTTTTCCTTCTCCGTACAGTGCCGTTTTTGATACATGCTCCGCGTGCGGATCATGTGTTAAAAAATGCAGTCATGTATGAGAAATCCTATATTTTTAAACATCCCATGTATTAAAAACTGCCCTGTAGCCATTGTGGCTCAAGCGAGCCTGGCGTTCGGGAGGCCCTCGCGCGGCGCGCGCCCGTCGGCTCTTCGGGCGCGCGCCAGCGGCCGCGGCATAGAGACTTGCCCTGCACCCTGCGGGGCGCCGCCAGGTGCGGCGGCGCCCAGCAGGAGGAGGAGGAGGAGGAGGAGGAGGAGGAGGAGGAGGAGGAGGAGGAGGAGGAGGGGGAGGACTTCGCCAAGCAGCGGGCCGCGGTTTTCGCTCGCACTCTCGCCCGACGCCCTCGGCGAGAGTAGCGCAGGATGGAAGCTGGCGCAAACGCGTGCCCAGGCCCTGCACCGACGGGGGGCCATCTGGTGCCGTGCACTGGTCTGTGGGCGTCTGGCACTGGTCTGTGGGCGATCGCGTCGGCGGACACGAAGCCTCGTGGCCGCAGCAGCGCGGGGCGCGCAGCTGCTGGGGCCGACGGAGCTGGGGGAGCTGGCGCCGGAGGCCGCGACCCACGCCCACTGGGCTAGGCTTAAGTAAGGCGTGTCCCCCTACAGGGAGATTTTCGACGAAAAATACAAAATACCCCAACAAATACCCCAAAAAGGTGAAACAATAGTAAACAAATAGTCCCCAGACTATTTCTGGATTATTTTTTATTATTTTTGGTGTATTTTTTATATTTTTCGTCGAAAATCCCCCTGTAGGGGGACAGGCCCGGCTTAAGGCTAGGCATGCCCCCCCCCCGCCAGGCCTGTGTTCCCTGGCTGCAGCGCCCGTGGGCGTCCGGCACGCCGTCCGCGAGAATTTCCGCGCGTGGCGGCACGGCGCCGAGGGCCAGCACTCCGGCGTCCTTCTGGCGGCCCTCGGAGCTCTTTCGGAGTCCGAGGGCGGGAAGTCTGCGACCTGTCATCCTGTTTTCCCCATGGAGCTGCTCGTGGCGACCTCTCTCTTCACGGGCTCCCTGCTCAAGCTGACGCTCGTCCTGGCGACCGCTTCCCTGGTGGTACTGGCGCTCATCAGGCCGCCGGTCGTCGTGATCCAGATGCAGCCCGACCTGAACTCCTTCCTTCTCAGGGGGCCGATCCTCTTCATGGTGCTCTGCCTGAGTTCCCTCATCAAGTTGCTGATCGTTTTGGCGATGTTGGAGGCAATGTTTTTGATGATCCTCAGGCCGTACGTCCACTTCTTCGTAATGAAGTCTTTCGCGCTTCTGGTGATGAAGCCATACATCACACCCTACGCAATGGCGATGGTGCTCATGGAGTCTGGCCTCAACCCCGCCTGGCTGCCCACGGAGGCGATGAAGGCCGTTGTATTCCTGGTGGTGCTGATGCTCATCAGGACCTCGATCTCTTGGAGCCAGGTGCAGCCCGACCTGAACCCCTTCGTGGTCACGGGGATGTTTATGTTCATGGTGATCTGCCCGAGTTCCGTGTTGAAGTTGCTGATCGTGTCGGCGACGCTGTTCCTGGTTCTGTACCGCAGTCGCGCGACGGCTACGTGAAGGAGTTATTGTTCGGACGATAACCCAAGGATGTAATAAAATAAATCCTTTGCCTCCCTCCCTCCTTCCCCCCTCCCTCCCTGCCTTCCTTCCTCCCTCCTCCTTGCCTCCCTTTCCTCCTGCTCCTCCTCCGCTCCTTCTCCTCAAAGATAGCATCTCCCCGTCGCGCCCCGAGGCCAGTTTTTAGGGCGGGCCGGGCGTTTCGCGTGAAACTTCCTCACCTCTTGTGACTCTGAAGTTGAAAAGGTGACAACAGCTTCACAGATGGAGGGCGGGTCGTTTTCAAAATGTGGCTCTCGCCTCAGCGCCGCGCACATTCGTTTACAAAATTCGCAAGACCTTGACGGATTGAGGGCGGCTCGTTTTCAACATGTGGCTCTCGCCTTAGCGCCGCGCACATTCTTCTTCAAATTTTACAAGAGCTTCACGGATTGAGGGCGGGCCGTTTTTCAACATGCGGCTCTCGATTCAACGCCGCGCGCGTTCGTTGCACAAATGTACACGAGCTTCACAGATTGAGGGCGGCTTCTTCTCAAACTATGGTTCTCGCCTTAGCGCCGCGCACGCGCCGCGCACATTCGTTTTCAAAGTTTGCAACAGCGTCACGGATTCAGGGCGGAGCGTTTTTCAACATGTGGCTCTCGTTTTAGCGCCGTGCACATTCGTTGCCAACAATTGTAATAGCGTCACGGATTGAGGGCGGGACGTTTTTCAACATGTGGCTCTCGCTTTAGTGCCGTGCACATTCGTTTTCAACAATTGTAATAGCGTCACGGATTGAGGGCGGGACGTTTTTCAACATGTGGTTCTCGCTTTAGCGCCGTGCACATTTGTTTTATTCAAACTTTGTATGAGTGTCACGGATTGAGGGCAGGACGTTTTTCAACATGGGGCTCTCGCTTTAGCGCCGTGTACATTCGTTCTATTCAACCTTTGCATGAGTGTCACGGGTTCTCATGATCAACGTACCACAACAGGTGTTTTGAAAAGGTTCAGGATTTTGCAGGTGCTACAGTTATGTTGGTTCGCTGTACGAAGTCCCAAAATGACCCGGTGGCACCAATCCAGATTGTCACAACGCAGGAGTCTTGTGGATACGTGGCGTTGACATCCCGAGAACAATGTGTTGGCATTCTTTCAGGATCTGAAAACGGTTGTCTTCCAACGAGGCAGTTCCTTCAACGGAATGAACCTGTTGTGGGGGCAAGGACGAGGGAATTTGGAGGGAGGGTTCGTTCCAACATCGTTGATGACCCTTGGGTTTACACTGCTCCTCCTCCGCCTCCTTTTCTTCCTCCTCCCTTTTCCTTTTTTTCCTCCCTCCCCTCCCCCTGCTTCGTTGCAGTCTGGGTTCCATGCGCCGCGCAGCGCCTGCCTGCCAGTCTCCGAACTTCAGCGAAACGTACGTCTGAACCGACGCTCCGATTCGAGCGGCGGTGGCGAATGTGGGGCGAATCATCATGGGCCGCTCTTCATCGCGCAGCTGCGCCACGGACGGTAATCACATTCGCTGTGCCGTTGGGTGGTCGGCGTGCCGCAGATGCAAGACGTACAAAAGGGTGCAACAAGTGGGGAGCGGACAACTGGCTCTGCGCGTGCGGCAACCAGGTGAAGCAGCATCGTTCGTCCTTCCGTGGCCGGGTTGTCGGCGAACAGGGCAACGGCGCGACAAATTCCGTCGCGAAGACGGGCGACACCGTGGAGGCAATCACGGATTTGGTTGGTGATGTTCCTCCGCAGCGTGTTAGGCAGCTTTTGCATCGACCATTTCCCGTGCGGCAGCATCGGCGGCCAGCGCTGTCCCACCTCCAGATTCAGGATTCATGGGAGTGGAACAAACAGAGACGCCAACCGCAGGCATGGTGCCAACATCGAAGCCGTCGCTCGCCTGAAAAAGCAGCTCGCCGCCGCCAGGGAACGCCAGGTAGCCTTGGCCGCGCAGTTTGTCGAGGCCACCGGGGCTAAACAACTCACGGCCACCGCCATCGCCAAGCTGTCGAGATCCGGCGCGGGCGCCGGGACTGCCGATGTTCCCACCGGCGGAGGCTGCCAAGCAAGCCCGACCAACCCCCAATCCCCAAGGGCTACTAGCTATCAACTTGTTCTGGGACGACGCGATTTTCGAGGACATGAGTGAGCTGGAGCCCTCCGAGTAGCAGCAGGTGGCGGATTTTCAAAGGTCTTTGAAGGAACAGACGGCAAGTTGCCGGGCGTGTCGATCGAGATTAAGACCACAGTCGAGGCGGCTCGCGCGCTGGCGACGGCGCAGGCGTACCGCATCGCCACGAAAGCGGCGTGGTGGCGCTGACGGGCAAGTGCAGGCAGGCGCCGGCGACGTCGCTGCCAATTGCCCGGGTGCGCCGGGCGAGGCCACGCAGGGCCCGCACAGGGTTGCAGCCAGCAGCCAAGGTAGAAACACCCGCGCCCCCTCCTGGTGGCGCCGCTGGCGGCGGGCCCGTGTGACCTGCCGTGGGCGCCAGCGCTGCCAACGCCAATGTCCCATGCGCGATTTAGCTTGTGGGGATAGGAGCCAGTGCGTCCATTTTGTATCAGTTGATGGATTGCCTTTTCGTGTTCCCGGAGGCTGCAGTAGTGACGAGCGACGTTGTGGGGTTATCGGCTCAATTGCTGGCGCGCGTTGCATGTTCTTCGCAAGTATAACATGCGTGGCCCCCCAGGCGTTGAGCGACGTCAAGTCGCGCGGCGGCTATTTGACGCGATGGGCTTCGTTGAGGACCGCGCCCGCGGGGAGAAGGGTATGGTCAAGTGGTGAAGGGTTGCCAATTTTTCCCGCCACCGCTCGACCCCGGCCCAGGTCCGCAGGGAACGAGGGGGGCGAGTGGGCCATGCGCCGACGGCCGTGCCACGTTCATGCGGCGGTTGGCGCCTTTGTTCCTGCGCCTCGGCAGCATCGGGCGCCGGGAACGGCCGCCCTCGGCCAGCCCCGCGCTGCGGTGCCGCGCCATCGCGGATTTTGCTCTGCATGTTTTGTTGTGTGTGTTTGTGTTTTGGTTGGTTTTTATTTTTTTATGGACGTGCTGGAGTTGGTTGGCGAGATGCGACTGGGGCCGTCGCGCCCGGTTGAGAGCCCCCCTCGTCGCCCTCAGGTTGCCCTGCGTTCTTCCGGCAAAGTTCAACGTCGACAACGAGCCCCTCTACATCGAAGGTTTCGCGAAGCGCGCGCAGGGTCGGGTCTTGAAGGCGGGCGCGGCCACGGGCCAACACCTTTGACGAAAGCAAGCTCGGGTCGCACATCGACTGGCATGTGCTCGGGGAGCTGCGGCCCATTCGCCGTCGGCATCCGCGCGGGGCGCGAACCTGGGGGAAGACCCCCTGCGGCCTCCTGCCGGCGCCGATCGGGCGCGGGCCCGGGAGCTCATCTCGAGGGGTTCGCGCATGACCCCCCGATTCACGAGACGGATCGGCCCCGACTTTTTCGCGCCAGGGCCGGCGATGCACGCCGGTCGCCAGCCGCCCGGAAGATTGGCGCAGGCGTCGCGCCCACATGGGCAGAGAACTCCCGGGCCATGTCCCATTCGAAACGCGCGGCCTCCCCGCCCAGCGTGGATCGACTTCGGCGACGCGCGGGGCTCGGACGCCTCGGCCGTCGACTCCGCCGACAAGGCGGGCGATGAGTTTGCGCGCTGCGAGCTCGGCGAGTCTCAGCGAGCCAGTCTTCGACGACGGCTCTGGCCGCGTCTGGCTCCGCCGTTCGGCGCTTTTGCTGCGCGCCCCCCTCTCCGCGGGAAGGATGCGCCGTCGGCCGACGCGGTGCGGGGCGTGGGCCGCCGCGTCGCGCCTCTTCCTGGACCTTCAACGCCTTCGAAGTCTTCGCCCTCGAAGCGCGCGTCGCTAGGCATCCCCAGCTGGCCTCCTGTTCAGTTGCAGGCTTTGGCTCGCGGACCTGCAGAGCATGGCGCAGCGCGCGCGTGCGATTGCTGGGCGCGGCCTGTGCGCGTTTCAGCAGATAGTCAGGTTTTTCTTCCCGGTGTGAGTCTGACCCATCTGCGGCGCCTGGGGCGGGCCCGGGCTCTTTCGACGATCCCGAGCTCGATCGCCACGCGGACGTTGAGGCGTCCGATCATTTGGAAGTGGGCACCTGAATGTCTGGAAGCACGCGCAGGTCGACGGGGCCGCGCCCCGTCTGAGGCCGCGCGCTGTCTTGCGCGCCCATATCTGGCGAGGCGCCATTCCTGGGCAGCGGCCGATGCCCTCGTCAGCGCCAACCGCCGTCGAGGTCATAGCAAATCCGCGTTCACCTCGGCCGCCACTTCGCCTCCGCCCTCTGTCCGCGAGGCCCCGCCCCTATGCTCGCCGCGGGATGCCGACCGCGGAGCGGCCCCCGAGGTCGCAGTCGTCGCCGCGGACGGCTGCCCCGAGGCCGCGCTGCAGATTGAGCGCGGGGCGGGGGGGGGGGGGGGGCAATGAACGTGGATCCGCCAGTTATGATTTTTGCCCCCGGACCTCCGAATGATGGGGGAGCTGATTGGGGGGCGGCGGAGGCGGCGCCCGACGCGGCAGGCTCGCCCCCGTTCTGCCCGAGCGATGACGCGCGGCGGCAGGCGCGGTCCGATTTCTCTTGCAGTCTTGCGCCGTGGCAGGCCGCGGAGGAGCCCGTCGTGCGCCGCGTCAGAGTCGGCGACGTTGCTGCCCTCGGTTTCGCGCGCAGCAGATGGGCGCAGCAGGCCGCGCGCGCCATCCAGCTCCACCGCGACGATCAACCTGGGACGCGCAGACTCTTCACGCAGCAGTGCGAGCGCGCGGCCTCGGGGGCACGCTTGCCAGCCGATGGGGCCCCGGAGCAGCGGTGCCCGATCGTCTGGTTGCCTGGCGGAGTCAGACGGCGCACTCCTTCGTGCGCTGGCTGGCGGGAGGAGGGCACGCAAGGGGGGCTGGCGGCGCAGGCGGCCCCGCCAGCGGGTGCACGGCGCATCCCACCAGGACGCGGCCTCCTGCGGCGGGGGGGGTGGCGCGTGTTGCTGGGCGTCTGCAGCAGACTCCGAGGATTCCCCCATTTGTGGAAAGGGGCCGCGTGAGCCAGCATCAGGGTTCGCCCCAGGCAATTTTAAGTTGCAGTGGGTGGTGACGTTGTTCCAGATAGCCCAAGCGGAATGGTCGTGCTTAGAGGCCCTGACCGAGCTTGCGATACAGCTGGCGCCAGCCGTCGCTGCGGCCGCAGAAGCCATGACCGCTTCAAATGAAAAAAGGGTTGCGGGGCAGGGATCCGGCAACTCAAGGGGAGTGCTGCGGGCCTTGCGACCAGGCACACTGCAGGAGGTCACGCCGGACCGTGCCGTCCGTTCCCAGGTTGCTGGTTGGTCCCTGGCTGGCGGGCCTGAGCTCCCTCCACATTGTGACAGCACCGCTGGCGGGGATGAGTGTGGCTTGGGCCAGCGGCTCGGGGGGAGTGTTGCGGCCTAGCGCCCAGGCACGGGTGGCGTGCGCTCCCGAATCGCTCCGGGTTGTTGGCGAGCCCCGCCTGAATGCGGTGGCTGGCGTGTTGGAGAGTTTCTTCCACCCAGTCCTCGGCACGCTCTGAGGGCCGTGCCGTGCCATGCCCCCCGCGCCGCGCGTCGGCTTGCGGGTTCGCAGACTGCTCCTTTCCTCCATCTGTCAGCCCCGACAGCTGGAACAACATTCGCAAAAGGACCCCATCCCCAATAGAACAGGGCCACCCTTCTGTCTGACATTTCCAGCGCGCTCTCGGTGTGCAGGTCCGCGGCAATTCTCCAATGTCCTCCATCCCCAGCTTCCTCTTCCGTCGCTCTCCCCTTTTGCTCGTGCTCGTCCTCCTGATCTTGACTTTCCTTCGCGCTTGTCTCTCTTCCCTCCCTCGTCCACCCCTCCTCGCCGCTACCTCCCATTGCCTCCCTGCCACATCCTGCTTTTGCGACCGACTGCTTCGGACCGCTCGTTTCCATTATCGTCCCTGCCTTTCTTTCGCCCCCCCGCCGAGGGCTTTTGACGCCGAAGACGTCGTCGTCCTCGTCCTTGTGGTCCTCGTGGCACGCAGCCGCCGCTCAGAGAAAGACCCGCGGTGGCCGCAGGCCCGCCTGGAGACTGCGCTCGCGGGCTCCTCGCGGACGATCGCGCCGGCCGCCCAGGCGACCCGGCGAGCGCCCCGGCGGGGGCCACCCCCCCACTCCCTGCGGCGTTCTTTCTCCTTCCTTGCTCCATTCCATTTTATGAGTCAAGGGGCCCAATGACACACAAATAAATACACACAGATAAGATGATCCCCCATATTTTCCCATATTTTATGTGTTTTTGTCTTCCCGCCCACTTCCCATATTTTCCTATATTCTCTGGGAAATCGAGGATTAATTGTGTCTGTGTGTTTCTTTTCCTCCTGAATGAGTGATTCTTCCCGGTCGCACCCCGAGGCCGGTCGAAAGGGCGGGCCAGGCGTGTCGCCTGAGACTTCCTTACCACTTAAGTGACACTGAAGCTGAAAGTTGGACAACCGTTTCACAGATGGAGGGCGGGCCGCTTCCAAAATGTGGTTGTTGCCTTAGCGCAGCGCGCACTCGTATTACACAATTACAGCATTGTCACGAATTGAGGGCAGTGTGTTTTCAAAATGCTGCTCTCGTCTTAGTTCCGCGTGCACTCGTCATACCAATTTCCAAGAACTTCACGGATTGAGGGGGGGGGTCAGCATCTGGTTCTCGCCCTAGCGCCGCGCACATTCATTTGATAACAAGCCAGAAGGTTCACTAATCGAGGGCGGTTGGCTTTCAACATGTGGCTCTCGCATTAACGCCGCGCGCACTCGTCTTAAACATCTGCAAGAGGCTTTGTGGTGGTGGTTTTCAGATTGTGGCTACTGTCTTAGGGGCGCGCGCAGTCGCTTTGGACACCTGTAAGAGTTTCACGGGTTTCCCAGTGTCCACGTGCCACAAGTTGTGTTTTGGACGGATTCGGGACTGGCAGGGCGCAACAACTACACCGAGTCTCGGTGCTGACATCCCAGGAAAGGCGTTGTGGCACGATTCGTGATCGTCCAGACGCAACAGTCAGGTTTGTTCGTGGCGCTGAAGCACGGAATGTGGTTCTGGCACGCTTCACCATCTTCGAACAGTTGTCCCCGAACGGGATACTTACCTTTGTGGGAAGGAATGTCTGTAGGGGCCCATGAAGAGGAAGCTTTGGAAAGGGTTATTGCAACCTCGTTGATGCGTCTTGGGTTTACTTTTGTCCTCTTCCTCCTCTTCCTCTCTCCTTTCCGCCTCCCCCTCCATGCACAATGACTATGCGTCCGAGCGGCGGCCAGTTGTCGGATGAGGGTCCCCGTTCGGACAGGGGCCCTCTCTCGGGGTGCGACGCGCCCGCGCCCATCCCCGTGGCGCAGCTTCGACCCGCGAGGCGAGGGCCGCCCCCTCCCCCACCCCTTCAGGCGTGAGGGTGTGTTGTCCGCTCGCCAGGGAGGGGGAGACGGGGGGTCTGGTGTTGCTAGCATCGGTGGCGAGCGACGGGGGGAAGCGAGAAGGGGCGGGCCTTCTCAGAAGGCTCGGAAGTCCCCCCGGCCTTCTGAGAAGTTTTCTACGGTTTCCCCGAAGACAGACAAACACTTCTCAGAAGGCGCGAGGGGTTCTGTGAAGTCCCGCCGCCTTCGCCTTCTGAGAAGGCCTTCTCCTTCTCACTTCCCCTCCTCGCTCGCCGCCAATAGAAGTGCCCATGGCCCGAGGTGCGCCCAGGACTTCGAGGGAGGCCCCGCAGGATTCCAGAGCACCCCTCGCGAGGCCCTCTGGGCCCTGGAGCTCTAACGTGGGGCGAGAAGCTGGTAGTATCTTGGGCCAGGTGCACCTTTGGCAACCCCCCAAGGGGGGGAGGGAGGATCGTACATACAAGAGAGGGAGGGGGGGGGGGGGGCACCGCCCACCAGGGGAAGCCGCGCGAGAGGAGGCGGCCAGCCGAGAAGGCAGAGGGGGCGGGGGCGCTTCTCAGCACGAGGGCCTGGCGGCGCGTGAAGCACACGCGCTTTCCCCCAGGGCAGGGCCTTTCCGAAGGGGCCTCAAGAGGCAGAGCCTTTCCTAGGAGGGCCACTTGCCTTTTTTATGCCCCCTCCCGCCTTGTCAGAGGGCCGCCCTCTTTGCGAGAAAGAGGAAAAGGAGGAGGAGGAGGAGGAGGAGGAGGAGGAGGAGGAGGAGGAGGAGGAGGAGGAGGGGGAGGAGGGGGAGGGGGAGGGGATCTGGAGGGAGAGGGAAGACGAGCGAGTGAGGGAGAGTCAGGGAGGCTAAAGAGGGGAGGGACGCAGGGAGGGAGGAATGGATGGAGGGAGAGAGGAATGATGAGTTTGATGTTGATGATGGTGATGATGATGATGATGAGGAGGAGGAGGAGGAGGAGGAGGATGATGGGGAGGATGAGGAGTAGGAGGAGGAGGAGGAGGAGGAGGATGCTGGTGGTGATGAGGAGGAGGATGATCCGCATGGTCGCAAAATGTGGTCATGACGGCGATGATGAGAACTGAGAAGGAGGAGGCGAAGGAGGAGGATGAGGAGAACGAGGAGGAGTTGGGCAGCCTCTTTTTGCTCTCCTCCCTCGCACCGCTCCTTCGCCTTACGGCTCGCACGAGGGTCAAAGCAGCAGCACTTGCTCTCGGGGGGCACCCTCTCATGCTGCCTGCGCTTGGACCCTGGCCACCCTGGAACGAACTCTTCGTCCCGCAGGTACCTCCGTGGTCTCGATTGTTAGACGATGAAGTTCTGAGGGATGGGTCCTAAGGACAGGAAGGGGTCCAAGGGTGGACTTATTCAGGAAAAGTGGCATAAACATAAATGTTCTGCGCTCCGCGCGGATTCCTTGGATCGGCGTTGGGCCCCCTTGCGGCGACTCCGGCACCGCCCTTGGCGCGCTCCGCGCGCCAGGGAGGGGGGTACAGCCCAGATCCAAGAAATCCGCGCGGAGCGTCAACCGTTTCAATCGATGCCGTCCTCTGTGCTCCTCTGAGGTATAGGAAGGCATCCAGGGGTGGATTCACATCATGAGATGCCCCTCGCTCTCAGGACCCCGCCCTGAAGGCATCCAGGGGTGGACTTACATCATTCGATGCACCTCGCTCTCGGGACCCCCGACGAGGGGGCCTTCGCGCCTCGGCGAGCGGGGGGGGCCGCGTCCTCGCCCCGCGCGCCCTGGTGGCCCTGCTCCGACCCGCGCCCCCCGCGCGCGGCCGCTCGCCGACCCGCTGCGGCCCGCGCTTCGCGCGCGCCCCGCTGCGGTCCCGCCCGTTGCCGATCCGCTGCCGGCCTCGGCGGAGAGCCCCGGGGGGGCTGGAGAAGGAGAGGGCCTTCTCTCCCGGAGGAGGAGGAGAAGGTGTGTAACCCTACCGCTGCCCTTCCCTCGTTCTCCCTTTTTTGGGGGGCCTCCTTGGAGGCCCTCGTCGCCACTGTTGGAGTCTGGACGCCCGAAATGGGCACCAAAAGAATGGGTACACTGCCCAGCAGCAGTTCCTGTTCGTTTTGAGCAGGGCTCGCTGTCCGCGCCGCCGCGGCCTGTTTCCATTCGAGACAGAAGGCCGCCTGCCCAACAGCGGCCGCTGCTGGTTTGGGACAACATTTGTTGTTGGGCATTGTACCCACTCTTTCCGTGCCCATTTCGGGCGTCCAAAGAGAAGGCCTTCTCTCTCGGAGGAGGCAGAGGGTACCCCTTCCGCTACCCTTCCCTCGTTCTCCCGTTGTGGGGGGCCTCCTGGGAGGCCCTGGTCGCCGCCGTTGGATTCGCCTCGGAGTCCCGGTCAGAACGCAACCCGGGAGAGGCCCTGGGAGTAGCGGTATCGGTTCCGTGTGGCTTCCCCATTGTCAGAGGATTCGGAAGTCCCCAGGCCTCTCGAAGTGTTTTGCGCGTCTCCCGAGGACACAGAGAAGCCCCGCCGCCTTCTGAGAAGGCCCTTCTGCTTCTCACTTCCCCCCCTCGCTCGCCGCCGATGGCCGCTCCTGTCCTCCGCGTTGCCCCCGCCCCAGAACCCCTGGCGCAGTGAACAAAATTACACCTGAGAAAAATCTCAATCAGTGGATGATTCGAAAATTAATACTATGAATATTAAGATCGTTTGCGAGTTCGATAATGAGATCGATAGCGGAATCGATAGTGAGGACGATTGTAAGGCCGATTGTGAGACCGAGCGTGAAATCGATTCAATGAGATCGATAGTGAGATCGATCGCGAGATCGCTCATGCGATCTCTAGTGAGATCGCTTGTGAGATCGATAGTGAGATCGATTGTGAGATCGATAGTGAGATCGATAGAGAAGTGGGTAATGAGATCAATGGTGAGACCGATCGATAAGAAGATCGACCAGGAAC